CCCCCCCCCCCCCCCCCCCCCCTTCCCCCCCCCCCTCCTCCCCCCCCCTCCCCCCCCCCCCCCCCTCTCCCCCCCCCTTCCCCCCCCTCCCCTCCTTCCCCCTCCTTCCCCTCTCCTCCCCCCCCCCCTCCCCCCCTCTCCCCCCTCCCCCCCCCCCCCCCCTCCTTCCCCCCCCCTCCCCCCCCCCCTTCTTCCCCCCCCTCCCCCCCCTCCCCCCCCTCCCCCCCCCCCCCCCCCCCCTCCCCCCCCCCCCCCTTCCCCCCCCTTCCCCCCCCCCCCCCCCCCCTCCTTTCCCCCCCCTCCCCTCCTTCCCCCCCCCCCCCCCCCCCTCTCCCCCCCCCCCCCCTTCTCCCCCCCCCCCCCCCCCCTCCCCCCCCCCCCCCCCCCCCCCCCTCCCCCCCCTCCCCCCCCCCCCCCCCTCCCCCCCCCCCTTCCCCCCCCCTCCTCCCCCCCCCCCCCTCCCCCCCCTCTCCCCCCCCCCCCCCCCCCCCCCCCCCCCCCCCCCCCTCTCCCCCCCCCCTCCCCCCCTTCCCCCCCCCCCCCCCCCTCCCCCCCCTCCCCCTCCCCCCCCCCCCCCCCCCCCCCCCTCCTTCCTTCCCCCCCCCCCCCCCCCCCCCCCCCCTCCCCCCCCCCCCCCCCTCCCCCCCCCCCCCCCCCTCCCCCCTCTTCCCCCCCCTCCCCCCCCTCTCCCTCCCCCCCCCCCCCCCCCCCCCCCCCCCCTCCCCCCCCCCCCCCCCCCCCCCTCCCCCTCTCCCCCCCCCCCCTCCTCCCTCTCCCCCCCCCCCTCCCCCCCCCTCTCTCTCCCCCCCCCCCCCCCCCCTCCCCCCCCCCCCCTCCCCCCCCCCCCCCCCCCCCTCCCCCCCCCCCCCCCCCCCCCCTCCCCCCCCCCCCCCCCCCCCCCTCTTTCCCCCCCCCCCCCCTCCCCCCCCCCCCCCCCCCCTCCCTCCTCCTCCCCTTTCCCCCCCCCTCCCCCCCCTCCTCCTCCCCCCCCCCCCCCCCCCCCCCCCCCCCTCCCCCCCCCCCCCCCCCTCCCCCCCCCCCCCCTCCCCCCCCCCCTCCCCCCCCCCCCCCTCCCCCTCCCCCCCCCCCCTCTCCCCCCCCCCTCTCCCCCCCCCCCCTCCCCCCCCCCCCCCCCCCCCCTCCCCCCCCCTTCCCCTCTCCTCCTCCCTCCCCCCTCCTCCCCCCCCCTTCCCCCTCCCCCCCCCCCCCTCTCCCCCCTCCCCCCTCCCCCCCTCTCCCCCCCCCCCCCCCCCCCCCCCCTCCTCCCCCCTCCCCCCCTCCCCCCCCCCCCCCCCTTCTTCCCCCTCCCTCCTCCCCCCCCCCCTCCCCCCCTCCCCCCCCCTCCCCCCCCCCCCCCCCCCCTCCCCCCCCCCCTCCCCCCCCCCCTCCTCTCTCCCCCCCCCCCCCCCCCCCCCCCCCCCCCCCTCCCTTCTCCCCCCCTCTCCCTTCCCCCCCCCCTTTCCCCCCCCCTTTCCCCCCTTCTTCCCCCCTTCCCCCCCTCCCCCCCCCCCTCCTCCCCCCCTTCCCCCCCTCCTCCCCCCTCCCCCTCCTCCCCTCTCCCTCTCCCCCTTCCCCTCCCCCCCCCCTTCCCCCCCCCTCCCCCCCCCCCCCCCCCCCTCCTCCCCCTTTCCCCCCCCCCCCCCCCCCCCCCCCTCTCTTTCCCTCTCCCTCTCCCCTCCTCCTCCCCCCCCCCTCTCTCCTCCCCCTCTCCTCCCCTCCCCCCCTCCTCCCCCCTCCCCCCCTCCCCCCCTCCCCCCCCCCCCCCTTTCCCTCCCCCCCCCCCCCCCCCTCCCCCCCCCCCCCCTCCTTCCCCCCCCCCCCCCCCCCCCTTCCCCTCCTCCTCCTCCCCTCTCCCCCCCCTCCCCCCCCTCCTCCCCCCCCTTCCCCCCCCCCTCCTCCTCCCCCCCCCCCCCCTCCCTCCTCCCCCCCTCCCTCCCCCCTTCCCCCCCTCCCCCCCCCCCCCCCCCCCCCCCCCTTCCCCCCTCCCCCTCCCCCCCCCCCCCTCCCCCCCCCCCCTCCCCCTCCCCCCCCCCCCCCCCCCCCCCCCCTCCTCCCCCTCCCCCCCTCCTCCCCCCCTTCCCCCCCTCCCCCCCCCCCCCCCCCTCTCTCCCCCCCCCCTCCCCCTCCCCTCCCCTCTCCCCCCTTCCCCCCCCTCCTCTCCCTCCCCCCTCTTCCCCCCCCCCCCCCCCCCCCCCCCCCCCCCTCTCTCCTCCCCCCCCCCCCCCCCCCCCCCCCCCTCTCCCCCCCTCCCCCCCCCCCCCCTCCCCCCCCCCCCCCCCTCTCCTCTCTCCTCCCCCCCCCCCCTCTCCCCTTCCTTCCCCCCCCCCCCCCCCCCTCCCTTCCCCCCTCCCCCTCCTCCTCCCCCCCCTCTCCTCCCCCCCTCCCCCCCCTCCCTCCCTCTCCCTCCCCCCCTCCTCCCTCCTCCCCCTCCTCCCTCCCCCCCCCTCCTCCTTCCCTCTCCTTCCTCTCCCCCCCTTCCTCTCTCCTTTCCTCCCCCCCTCCTCTCCCCTCCCCCCCCTCCTTCCTCCCTCCCTCTCCCCTCTCTCCCCCCCTCCTCTTCTCTCTTTTCCCCCCCCCCCCCCCTCCTCCCTCCCCCCCTTTCCCCCCCCCCCCCCCTCCCCCCTCCTCCTTCTTTCCTCTCCCCCCCCCCTCCCCCCCTCCTCTCCCCTCTCCCCCTCCTTCCCCCCCTCCTTCCCCCCTCCCCCCTTCCTCTCCCCTCCTCCTCCCCTCTCCTTCCCCCCCTCCTCTTCCTCCCTTCTCTCTCCCCTCCTCTCTCTTCTCTCCCCCCCCCCTCCCCTTCTCCTCCCCCCCCCCCCCCTCCCTCCCCTCCCTTCCCTCTTCCCCCTCCTCTCCCCCTCCCCTTTCCTCCCCCCCCCCCTCTCCTCCTCCTCCCCCTCTTCTCCCCTTCCTCCTCCTCTCTCTCCCCTTCTTCTCTGCATGGTTTTTAACTACTAAAGTACCACGATCACTTCATAAAATAACTCATTGCTGTATTTTTAATAGGTTTGCGGTATCTTACCGCATACTCTGATGAAGTAAGATACAGCTCTGTGAATGGAGCCCACTGTGCTCTATTGTGGTGCACCTTCCTTTCTTATTTTCCACCAGCAATGTTACCTGGAGGGGAGCCCAAGTACAACCATATAAGCTTGGGTCACACTTTACATCATAAACTCTCCTGGTTGTGAGCTTTGGAAATAAGGACTTTTTAAATACAAAAAAAACAAAAACATTTTTTAAGTTGGTATCAGTGTTTAGTGTGTTTTAGGTAGTATTAACCCCCCCAAAAAAAGAAAACCCAAAAAACAAAATGTGCACCATTGTACATACAACTAACACACGTGTGGTATCACTGCGATCGTTGGTAGCAAGAGAATTTTATTTTGGGTTGTTCTTTGGTGGTAGGTATAGTACTATTTTTTTTGTCACACTCTTTTGGGACAGTTTTCTTTTGATGATAACAAAACAAAGGATACCAGGCGATATCCATTACCATTTTACCACCAAATGAAAGCCCAATTTGTGTATTGAGGTGGATTATACCTTGTTTTTTTCAGGACAAAGTAGTTTGGATGATATGTACAGTTTTATTAACAAGTCAAAGTTGCAATATTGTGCTTAGCCATTTACATTTTGTTTTACCATTTAGGCAGGAAGGGGTTAAAGTTCTTAGGACATTACAGAAATTAAGGATGCATGTCCTTTTTTAAGGACCTGCTATCCAGAGCCACCTAATAAGTTTAACTGCAATTTTAGGTTTAACTGGTTTATTTCCTAAATTTGTCCTTGCAATTTGTATTTGCACATCCTGCAAATACATGGTTTTCATCAGACCAGACAATTTTTTTTTATATCCCTCTTGACATGTGTTTTTGTTGCTGCTTTACACCCACTGAGTTGTTTAAAGGATATGTGGCATTCTAAGCAGCAGACATGTTGCCTTCTGTGTTCTGAAATAGCTACAGCTTTGACAGAGCTGTATTGTAAGTGGGGAAGTGGATAGACAAAGAGATGGGTAAAAATGACTTATCTGACCTTATTTAATGAAATCATCTGTCGTTTCTTAGTTTGTCATTTTTTTTGCTATAGCTGTTTACAAAATTGTGGGCTATTACTCCATTCATGGAAAATAAAACTATTTTGGTTGGGTCTTAGGGAGTTCTTTTGATAATATTGTCTATGATACAAAATTACTGGAACTACAGCTCTATATCTTGGCAGTATATCTAGCTAGACATGTACAGTGGATATAAAAGTCTACACACCCCTGTTAAAATGTTAGGTTTCTGTGATATAAAAAATGAGACAAAGATAAATCATTTCAGAACTTTTTTTCCACCTTTTTAATGTGACCTATAAACTGTACAACTCAATTGAAAAAAAAAAAGAAATCTTTTAGGGGAGGAGAAGTAAACCTAAAAACTAAAATAATGTGGTTGCATAAGTGTGCACACCCTCTTATAACTGGAGATGTAGCTGTGTTCAGAATTAAGCAATCACATTCAAAATCCTGCTAAATAGGAGTCCGTACAGACCTGCCATCATTTTAAAGCGCCTCTGTTTAACCCCAAATAAAGTTCAGCTGTTCTAGTAGGTCTTTCCTGACATTTTCTTAGTCGCATCCTACAGTAAACCATAGAGAGCTTCCAAAGCATCAGAGGGATCTCATTGTTTAAAGGTATCAGTTGGAGAAGGGTACAAAAGAATTTCCAAGGTGTTAGATATACCATGGAACACAGTGGAGACAGTCATCATCAAGTGGAGAAAGTATGGCGCAACAGTGACATTACCGAGAACTGGACGTTCCTCCAAAATTGATGAAAAGACCAGGAGAAAACTGGTCTGGAAGCCTGTCAAGAGGCCTACAGCAACATTAACCACCTCCCGCCCACCATATAGTAATATGGCGGGGCGCAAGGTGGTTCTCTCGTTCTGGGAGGATGTCATATGATGTCACATTCTCACCACACATGCGCGGCTCAGGGAGTGCGCACCGTGGCGATCGGCGGTGCGCTGTGTCCCTCGGACACAGCCGATCACGGAAAGAGCCAAAGATGTCGGCTCGGTCATGTGATCAGCTGTGTCCAATCACAGCTGATCACATGTAACAGGGAAATGCTGGTTATCTGGAGAGGAGAGCCGGTAATCTGCTTTCCGCGGAGGGGACATGTACACTGATCATCAGGGCACTGATGATCAGTGTGCCCTGATGATCAGTGTAGCCCCAGAAGTGCCACCTGTCAGTGTCCATCAGTGCCTTATATCAGTGCTCATCAGTGCCTTGTGTCAGTGCCCATCAGTGCCACATATTGCCTACCAGTGCACATCAGTGCCACATAGTGCCCATCTGAGCTGCCTTTCAGGATCACCCATCAGTGCCAGTCAGTGTCACCTGTCAATGCCAATCAGTGCTGCCAATCAGTGCCGCCTGTTAGTGCCAGTCAGTGCCCATCAGTGATGCCTGTCAATGCCCATCAGTGCCTCCTCTTCAGTGCCACCTATCAGTGTCCATCAGTGCAGCCTCATTAGCACACATCAGTGAAGGAGAAAAATCGCTTATTTACAAAATTTTATAAAAAAAACAAACTTTTTTTTTTTTCAAAATTTTCAGTGGTTTTTGGTTTAAGAAAAAATAAAAAACCCAGAGTTGATTAAATACCACCAAAATAAAGCTCTATCTGTCACAAAAAAATGATAAAAATTTCATATGGGTACAGTGTTTGACTGTGCAATTGTCATTCAAAGTGCGACAACGCTGAAAGCTGGAAATTGGCCTGGGCCAGAAGGGGGTATAAGTGCCCTGTGGGCTAGTGGTTAAAGGAGCTGCAGGAATATCTGGCAAGTACTGGCTATGTGGTACATGTGACAACAATCTCCAATATTCTTCATATGTCTGCGCTATGGGATAGAGTGGCAAGACGAAAGCCTTTTCTTATGAAGAAAAACATCCAAGCCCAGCTAAATTTTGCAAAAACACATCTGAAGTCTCCCAGAAGCATGTGGGAAAATGTGTTATGGTCTGATGAAAGCAAGGTTGAACTTTTTGGCCATAATTCCAAAAGATATGTTTGGCACAAAAACACTGCTTGTCACCAAAAGCACACCATACCCACAGTGAAGCATGGTGGTGGCAACATCATGCTTTGGGGCTATTTTTCTTCAGCTGGAACCATGGCCTTGGTCAAGGTAGAGGGAATTTTATGAACAGTTCCAAGTTCCAGTCAATTTTGGTACAAAACCTTCAGGCTTCTGCTAGAAAGCTGAACAAGAAAAGGAACTTCATCTTTCAGCATGACAACGACCCAAAGCATACATCCATATCAGCAAAGGAATGACTTCACCAGAAGAAGATTAAAGATTTGGAATGGCCCAGCCAGAGCCCAGACCTGAATCTGATCGAAAATCTGTGGGGTGATCTGAAGAGGGCTGTGCACAGGAGATGCCCTCGCAATCTGCAATCTGACAGATTTGGAGTGCTTTTGCAAGGAAGAGTGGGCAAATCTTGCCAAGTCATGCTGATAGACTCTTACCCAAAAAGACTGTGTAATAAAATCAAAAGGTGCTTCAACAAAGTATTAGTTTAAGGGTGTGCACACTAAAGCAACCGTAATATTTTATTTTTTTTTATTTTTTACTTCCCTCCACGTAAAAGATTTCAGTTTTGTTGTTCAACTGGGTTGTACAGTTTATAGGTTACATCAAAGGTGGATAAAGTTCTGAAATGATTTATCTTTGTCATGTTTTTACATCACAGAAACCTGACATTTTAACGGGTGTGTAGACTTTTTATATCCACTGTATGTCGCATTAAACCTTTCATAAAAAATACTGTAGGTTCTGATCTTTTTGAACATGTTAGTTGCCTGGTGGAGATACAATCACATGTATTTCATTTCCTTCAAGACCCATTCAGACTTGTCTGTTTTTTGGCAGATGCATTTTTTATTAAAATCCTGGATTTGTTCATGCTTAAAGTATATGTAAACCCTCACCTTGTAAAACAACCCTTTCAGGTTAAAATAGAAATGAAAGACAAAACAATTGGGCCAGCCCTCCAAATCATTGGATTCAGGTGTTCCAATCGCATCCATGGCCACAGTTTTATAAAATCAAACACCTAGGCATGCAGACTGCTTCTTCAAACATTTGTGAAAGAATGGGTCGCTCTCAGGAGCTCAGTGAATTCAAGCGTGGTACCATGATAGGTTGCCACCTGTGCACTAAGTCCATCCGTGAAATTTCTTTGCTACTAAATATTCCATGGTCAACTGTTAGTGGTATAACAAAGTGGAAGCAGCTGGGAAGAACATCTCAACCACAAAGTTATAAGCCATGTAAAATGACAGAGCAGGGTCAACTCATGCTGAAGTGCAAATAAGTCGCCAACTGTCTGTAGAGTCCATAGCTAAAGACCTCCAAACTTCGTGTGGACTTCAACTTAGCACACCAGTGTGTAGAGAGCTTCATGGAATAGGTTTGCACGGCTGAGCAGCTGCATCCAAGCCTTACATCACCAAATTCAATGCAAAATGTCGGCTGCTACTGGACACTAGAGCAGTGGAGACATGTTCTCTGGAGTGATGAATCATATTTCTCTGTCTGGCAATATTATGGATGTGTCTGTGTTTGGTAGTTGCCAGGAGACCGGTACTTGCCTGACTGCATTGTGCCAAGTGTAAAGTTTGGTGGAGGGCGGATTATGATGTGGTGTTTTTTAGGGGTTGGACTTGGCCCCTTAGTTCCAGTGTAGGGAACACCTTAAGGCGTCAGCATACCAAGACGTTTTGATGGTCCCAACTTTGTGGGAACAGCTTGTGGATGACCCTTTCCTGTTCCAACATGACTGCGCACCAGTGCACAAAGCAAGATCCATAAAGACATGGATGAGCAAGTTTGGGGTGGAGGAATGTGACTGGCCTGCACAGAGTCCTGACCTCAACCAGATAGAACACCTTTGGGGTGAATTAGAGCAGAGACTGTGAGCAAAGCCTTCTCGTCCGACATCGGTGCCTGACCTCACAAATGCGCTTCTGGAAGAATGGCCAAACATTCCCATAGACACACTCCTAAACCTTGTGGACAGCTTTGCCAGAAGAGTTGAAGCTGTTATAGCTGCAAAGGGTGGGCCAACTCAATACTGAATTCTACGGACTAATACTGGGATGCCATTGAAGTTCAGGTGTGTTTAAAGGCAGGCGTCCCAATACTTTTGGCAATATATGTGTGTGTGTGTGTGTGTGTGTGTGTGTGTGTGTATATACAGGTGAAACTCAAAAAATTTGAATATCGTGCAAAAGTTCATTTATATCAGTAATGCAACTTAAAAGATGAAACTAATATATGAGAGACTCATTACATGCAAAGCAAGATAGTTCAAGCTGTGATTTCTCATAATTGTGATGATTATGGCTTGCAGCTCATGAAAACCTCAAATCCACAATCTCAGAAAATTAGAATATTGTGAAAAGGTGCAATATTCTAGGCTCAAAGTGTCCCACTCTAATCAGTTTTTAAGCCATAACACCTGCAAAGGGTTCCTGAGCCTTTAAATGGTCTCTCAGTCTGGTTCAGTAGGAATCACAATCATGGGAAAGACTGCTGACCTGACAGTTGTGCAGAAAACCATCACTGACACCCTCCATAAGAAGGGAAAGACTCAAAAGGTAATTTCAAAAGAAGTTGGATGTTCCCAAAGTGCTGTATCAAAGCACATTATTAGAAAGGATTGTCAGGAAAAGGCCATTCAAAAGTGTTGGGGACTTTAACAAGGAGTGGACTGAGGCTGGAGTCAGTGCATCAAGAGCCCCCCCCCCCCCCCCACACAAACGGATCCTGGACATGGGCTCCAAATGTCGTATTCCTTTTGTCAAGCCGCTCCTGAACAACAAACAACATCAGAAGCGTCTTACCTGGGCTAAAGAAAAACAGACCTGGTCTGTTGCTCCTCTTCCAAAGTCCTCTTTTCTGATGAGAGCAACTTATGCATCTCATTTGGAAACCAAGGACCCAGAATATGGAGGAAGAATGGAGAGGCACCCCCTGCAAGATGCTTGAAGTCCAGTGTGAAGTTTCCACAGTCTGTGTTGATTTGGGGAGCCATGTCATCTGCTGGTGTTGGTCCACTGTGCTTCATTAAGTCCAGGGTCAACGCGGCCGTCTACCAGGAGATTTTGGAGCACTTCATGCTTCCTTCCACAGACAAGCTTTATGGGGATGCTGACTTCATTTTCCAGCAGGACTTGGCACCTGCCCACACTGCCAAAAGCACCGAAACCTGGTTCAATGACCGTGGGATTACTGTGCTTGATTGGCCAGCAAACTCGCCTGACCTGAACCCCATAAAGAATCTATGGGGCATTGCCAAGAGAAAGATGAGAGACATGAGACCGAACAATGCAGAAGAGATGAAGGCTGCTATTGAAGCATCCTGGTCTTCCATAACACCTCAGCAGTGCCACAGGCTGATAGCTTCCATGCCACGCTGCATTGAGGCAGTAATTGCTGCAAAAGGGGCCCAAACCAAGTACTGAGTACATATGCATGCTTATACTTTTCAGAGGTCCGATATTGTTCTATGTACAATCCTTGTTTTATTGATTGCATGTAATGTAATATTCTAATTTTCTGAGATTGTGGATTTGGGGTTTTCATGAGCTGTAAGCCATAATCATCACAATTATGACAAATCTCGGCTTGAACTATCTTGCTTTGCATGTAATGAGTCTATCTCGTATATTTAGTTTCACCTTTTAAGTTGCATTACTGAAATAAATGAACTTTTGCACAATATTCTAATTTTTCGAGTTTCGTGTGTGTGTGTGTGTGTGTGTGTGTGTGTGTGTGTGTGTGTGTATATGTATATATGTATATGTATGTATGTGTGTGTGTATGTATGTGTATGTGTATATATATATATATATATATATATATATATATATATATATATATATATGTGTGATCACAGCCAGAACTCTGGCGACGCTGTACTTTTCATGCCTACTGTGGTCAAGTTGTGGTGTGTGTGTTTTTTTTTTTTTTTTTTTGTTTTTTTTTTTTTTTCTTGAATACAGAAAATGTTTTTCCTGTTTTCCACAACACCTCACACAACCTTATACATCTTACATCATACATACCAACAAGTAACATTATACCTTTTTCCTTGTCTCAAATTAACCAGATATTTTTTTTTATATATATCAAGGTTCCTTATACCTCAGATTCTCTCAACTTTTTACGCTTTAAAGTTCTATTATCCATTAACCGTTCCCTTACCTACTGTGAGGGCATTACTTCAAAGTTATTGAACCATTTACCCAATATTTTAACATATTTATGTAGACCACCTACAGTCATGGCCGAAATTGTTGGCACCCTTGATATTTCTCCAGGAAATCATGTATTTCTCACGAAACGTATTGCATTAACACATGTTTTGCTATACACATGTTT